ATTTATTTATTTATTTTTTTAAAGAGATAGGGTCTCACTCTGTTGTCCAGGCTGGAGTGTAGTGGTGCAACCATAGCTGACAGTAACACTGAATTCCTGGGCTCAAGTGATCCTCCCACCTCAGCCTTCCAAGTAGCTAGGACTATAGATGCATGCCACCACACCTGGCTAATTTTTTTTTTTTTTTGGTAGAGATAGGTCTTGCTATATTGCCCAGGCTAGTCTCAAACTCCTGGCCTCAAGCAATCCTCCTGGCTCTGCCTCCCATATTTTGTTCTTAAAGCAGCATTTTAGAAAGACTTCCACCAGTGTCAAATCTTTTTTTTTTAAACTAGAATAAGCTTTAATGTTCGTATCTTTCATTATGGATATGAGCAACACGAAGGATTTACTTTATCAACAAACCACAGCATAACCACATTTTCCCCAAATAATGTTTAAGCTTTTTTCCATTCAAAGTATACATTAGGGATGCTTTGTTCCTGTCTAAGAACATCACATAGTCAAAATAATGTTGTTGGTATATATTTTCAAATACAAGTTATAAATGAGGGATACAAATTTGGAACTTTAGATGCATGGGGACTCAGTAATTGACATTTTGCTTTGTAACACTTCTTTCAACATTAAGTAAAGAAATTGGGACATGTTTTAGAAGGGAAGAAAATGAAAAACTTTTTGGTCCAAATAAGAGAGTTCAAAGAAATTCGTAAGCACTCTGACTATACCTACTATATTCACTGAAACCAAAGCCTACCTTTTTGCACATACTGATCTGCATGACTGCATAGCTTATGAGGGCCTCCTTTAAATCACGGTTCTTTTGTTCTTTGAAGCGTTCAATATCAGCCCACGCATTTTTCACAAATTCTCTGAAATAAAAGGTATAGTCATTATTATTATTTGAATTAAATTAACTGTATATTATAAATTTAAGCAACCAGTTCTTATTTGAGTCGTTTTTAATTGTCTGTATAGAATAAAAAGGTACTGCTTGTGTAAGACAGCTCTATTTTTTCTTTTCCTGAAAATTATAGTGAGGGGAAAAGCAAACTGTCATACATTCTTCTACATTTTAATAATCGACATTTTGCCACAGGATTCTACCTTCAAATTATTCCTATGAACCAGATGTAGATGACTCCCAGAACCAGCTCACGAGCCAAACAGATGCCAAAATGAAGTGTTTTCCTGGGATCAATGGGAAACACACACTCTTTAGACAAGATGGATTATAAATCACATTTAGCATGTCCTTGCTCTAAATGACAACTAGAGTTTTAAAAATTCTGAAAGGCATTTGTTTTTTAAAACTCTACTCATGAAAGTTTACTTTGCCTTATTTGGTGTCAGTGGTTCTAAAAATTAACAAAACAACCTCAAAGCCAAGAATACACTCTTGGTCTGCCTTGTTCTACTCACTAATTGTCAGATGAAAACAACAATAACGAAAATGAGCCAAACAGTGATAGGAATCACTGAGAAATGAATTTACAGGAAGATTTATGGAACAATTACATTCCAAGCTCTAGGCAAGGCATTGGGACATTAAGATGAAAAAGACACAGTCACTGACTTTGAAGGGCTATTAGCCAGGGAAGAGTCACACAGAACAACCAGAACAACCAATCACCTAACACACAACTGCCATGCTGTAGTGGGATGAACCGAGTGCTGTGATGGCCTGAGAGGATAAGGGGGGCTTCACAATGAAGTAACACTTGAGCTGGGTGCTGAAGGATGGACAGGCTTTTGTTAAACGGGAGAGAAGAGCAGAGGGAACATGCAAAGAATAGAAATCATGAAAAGGGCAAGAAAATAATATTACAAAGCTGAAACTCTAACTGTTCTTCCTTTCCCCCACACTATAACAATTGTTTCTATAATATGATTTTTAATAACTCAAATTTCTTAGGATTGTAATCATTGCATTTTAGAGTAACAGGCCATACCCAGGGATATTCGTGAAGCTGGGAATTGTTATAAATAAATAAAAATAATCCGCCATGTAGTCTGCAAGTCTAACTTTGTTAAACATCTTAGCATTTTTACCTGCCTTCCAGATTTTTAGACTTTAGCTGTTGCTCTCCTTCATTTATTTGTTCTTCTAGCACCTTTATTCTGGCCTCTCTCTGCTCTGGAGTTTCTTGACCGAAAAGCTTGGTAGTCATTCCCTTCAAAGAGAATGTTCTCACGGTCTAAAAGGAAATATACAAACAGATGAATGCATAACCAAAATGTGGCATATACATACAATGGAATATTATTCTTCCCTAAAAAGGAAGGAAATCTACGCTACAGCATGGATGAACCTCGAGGACATTATGCTAAGTGAAATAAGCCAGTCACAAAAAGACAAATACTATATGATTCCACTTATATAAGGTACCAGGAGTAGTTAAAATCAGAGACAGAAAGTAGAATAGTGGTTGCCAGGAGCTGGGGAGAGGGGAGGATGGGTAGTTGTTTAAGGGGAACAGAGTTTGAGTTCTAGAGATTGGCTGCACAATAGTGTGAACGTACTTAATACAGTCAGCCCTCCATATCGGAAGATTCCACAACCATGGATTCAACCAATCACAGATCGAAAATATTTAGGGAAAAAAAAATAACGATACAATAAAAAATAATATAAATTTTAAAAGTGTAGTATATCAACTATTAACATATAGCATTTACATTGTATTAGGTACTACAAGTCTGTGGTCCCCAACCCCCCTGTTATATGCAAATACTTTATATAAGGGACTTGACCATCTGTGGATTTTGATATCCCCGGGGGTCCTGGAAACAATCTCCAGTGGATATTGATGGATGACTGTACTATGAACTATACACTTGAAAATGGTAAATTTTATTCATATTTTACCAGACGCACAAAAAAAGGGAAACAGAGCTCAGGCAAAACCACCATAAGCCTCACAACTAGGGGACTCCTAATATGATTCTAATACTGGAATAATATGAAGTAGTCAAAAAGGGAAAAATTCTAACTGAATTTCTTAATCAACTGGAAAACTTCCAGGTGAAACATTAGACAAGTTGTTTCTTACCTTATACGAGTGGTCATATTTTTAAAAATTACTCTATGACATAAAAAATAGATAAAATTCAACAGACCAAAGGGTCATATTTAAAATCTGCAGAATTCACACTGAAACTTGGGTATCATGAATAAAACAGGATGCTTAAACCCAAGCGTTGCAAGGCAGCCTCAAGTTTCACTGCTTTAACATTTCCCATCTGGAGTTTACTGAGGGAAATACTTTCCCTTTCACATGCAGGAGTAGAGAACCAAGCTCCCTGAAAATGGTCTGGGAACTTCCCCTGAGTTTTAAAAACAGACCAAGGGCCTAGTCTAATCATGTCTCACAGTCACAGGTTTTCCCCACATATATCTATGATTTTTCATAAATGTAGCAAGTGAATAATCTATGTGAAAAGCACTTTAAAACTATAGTGCTTGTTAACTATGAAGTAACTGATAAATGGTGACATAGTCCCTGCTTTATTACTTCCAGAGTGTGTCTCTCACCATGACAGCTAATTTATTCCAATGAAATCGTTGGACAGCAGTAGAAAGCTGATTATAAAAATGATCTAAGTCTAATGCAATCAGATAGGCAATTTTCTTCACAAGTACTCACTAAGCATTAAAGAATAAAGTGCATAAAAAGTCCTTTGTTAGGAGAGATGCACTGATTCTAATGGGGTAAGGCTTTTCTTTCTGGTTTTTTTTTTTTTTTTCCTGAGGCAGGATCTTGTTCTTTTTCCGGGGCTAGACTGCAGTGGTGTCATTATAGCTCACTGGAACCTCCACCTCCTGGGCTCAAGCGATCCTCCTGCCTCAGTCTCTCAAGTAGCTGGGACTACAGGCTTGCACTACCACACTTGGCTAATTTTCTATTTTCTGTAGAGACAGGGTCTCACTATGTTGCCCAGGCTGGTCTCAAACTCCTGGCCTCAAGCAATTCACCTGCCTCAGTCTCCCAAAGTGCTAGGATTACAGGAGTGAGCCACCATGCCTGGCTGGCTTTTAAAGGAAATCAAAATTTCTATAACATACCTTACAAAATTAAACCTGACAAATATCATTATTTTAATCCCAAAGAATAATGTTTTTCACTTGGACCTTAGAAATTGGATGATACTTGTTACAGACAGCAATGTCAGCAAAATTTCTTAAAGTATACTACACAGTACACATGGTTTTAACAGCTTACATCTTTTTATATCAAGATAATAAAGAATTATAAAGCCATTCACGAATTATTCCCTGCAAAAAGAATAGACGTAATGAATATTATTAATACAACTGTAACTGATTCCACATAAGGCCTACTACAGAAATACCAGAGACCTAAAGAAAAATATTCACCCCGGTTGCCAGTTCCTCACACTGCTGCTTCTTAGATGCCAGGTCCTGAGCAGCCATCTCCAAATCATACTGCATAAGTTCATGTTTCCTGCACACAGCCCTAGGGATGAAAAAATGAGCCGACATTAACTTTTCTAGCCTCTCTTTATACATGTCAAGACATTTTTTCAGGGGTAGAGAAGAGGCATTCGCAATGTCTTACTAGGGCCAAAACTTGTATGCCCAGGATTTTCAAGTTTAAAATGTAGTAGCCCAACATTAAAAATTAAATCTAGCAGAACCTAAGCATAAAAACTTTATATAATTAAAACAAAAAAAGGTTATGTTTTACATACTTGCTACATTTCTTTCAATAAACATACATATGAAATGTTTTCTAATATAAGAACTCATGCTATAATCTTACATAGTAACCGAGTATTCTTAAAAAGGATAATATTTCAAAGTTTACTTCTTTGTTATTTAGAAATGTCCATTGGTTTTTATTACCATAAAAGTAATCTGTGTTCACTGTAAAAAAAGAAATGTTCTAATACAGAAATGCACAAAATAAAAAGAAAGTTTCAAGAACCCTCTCTTTCTGCCAATCCTACTATCTAGACATAATCCATATGTCTAGATAGTGCATATTCTTCCAGAATTTAGCTGGGCATTTACAAATACACATATCCGCACACCCCAAATGGTTCTACATCTTTTCTCACTTAGCTATATACCATGGACATCTTTCCATGTTAACACACACTAATCTTTTTTTATAATTTTTAAGAGCTACACAGAGTTCCACTGTATTCACCAGCTTGTGCTTGGTGACTTGAAAATATCCTGATGAAATTTCCTACTACTAAAAGCTCTAGAAGGAAAAAAGCTAACAATGTGCAGATGTTTTTATACCAGTTACTGGACAGCTAAAGGAATACTACTCTTCCATTTTCCTAACAGAATTCTAATACTGCTTTCAAAAGGGACAGGAAAACTGACCAAATGCCATTTGTTCTGGGAAAATGACTCATTTTTCTAAATTGATCAGAAAAATATACATTAACTTTTTCTTAATCAAATAGGACTATCTAGCAGAGAATTCTATTTGGCTCTGCAGGAGATGCCATAAAAACAGAATACAAAGTCCTTGACAACCTACTGATAAGACATGCAGACACGGAAAAAAATTACAGAATAAAAATGGTAATATACTAATGTACAGAACTAAATTTTTTAAATGTCATATGCTGTTAAATTCTGTGAAGTTTCAGTTATCTAAAATAAACACACATAAATGAAATGTAAAAAAAAAAAAAAAAAATGGTAATATACGACCTACTGACAGATATTGAGATACACACTAAATCTGTATTTGGCTTCCAATCTCCAAACTAGAAAAAGCAGAAAGAACGACAGACAGACTTGATGCCTGAGACTGGCAGGTTTTATCAATATAATATTTAAAGGGCAGTCTTCATCTTAATTTTATGCCTAGCAATCTGCAACACAGAGGAATACAAGGAGACTTCATTCAATATCTAAAAGAATGGATTCACTTAAAAAACATCTTACTATCTATTTTACAGTGGTATATGGAGAGAGTGGTGATCAGCCACCTGGCTGCATCTGGAACTTTTATTATACTTACCGCAGTGCTTCTGCATAAAAAAGATACTCTTTTAACTGATCTGCATAATGTTCTTCATCTTCCAAAATATCATCAATAGAAGACGCATACCTATTTAAAAAACACTGTATAAATAGAGTACTTTCATTGGGACACAAATGTTCTAAAGGAGTGCTATGCAAAGTGCGGTCCACTGATAATTTGTTACCCAGCAGAGATGAAGTACAGAAAGTGAGAATTAGCATTTAGAATCATTTATAGCAATTTGAAATTACCATGATGATTTTATTGAATTTTACCAAAATGTTTCAGTTAGCAATGGCTTAGAAATGAAAAAGAAAACAAAGAAAATATGGTCCTTCTTATAGGTCGCTTAAGAAGCACTGTAAAACTGTAATATCTTTTATTCAAAGATATTATAAAAAGGCTACTAAATCTGCAGAAGAATAAGTCAGGTATAATTCATACACACATGTTGTTGGTAGCAACTACTTATAGTAATGCCAAAAATCTACAAAGTAAATAAAGATTACAGAACATTTTAAAAGCTTATTTTATACTAATTCTCAACAGCAACCTCTGCTTTGATTGAGACACCCCGTCACGCCAGTCCCCTTCCTGCACCTGAATCTTCACTTATGCAGAAATGTGACAGTGCTCTACATCTCTCCACCTCCATGAAATTTTCCCAGGTTATTTTAGTCTTTATGCATCATCCTATTTCTGATCTCTTATCAACAATTTAGAACTTAAATCTTATCAAAATAATGTCTCATGCTTTGGTTTTACTTCTCTGATCACATTGCAAATTCCATAAGGACATGCATATGTACTACTTCTGTGTGGTATAATAGGTGTCCTTTCACATTAATTCTGATTCCTCAGCATGAAAATAAAAAAACATATATTTATGTCTCCAAGCCTGCTTCATCCATATAAGTAAACAAAATTTACTGAAGTTGTAAGATCAAATAAATAAAACTACATTAAGATTCATTTGAAAAGCAATGTGCTTTCTTACAGGATTTATAAAAGTAGTCAAAGGACACATTTTGTAATTACAAACTTACATCTATTAGAGTGAAGAATTTCTTATAAGTGACTAAAAAAATGTCTTGAGAATTACTCTTAAGAAAAGGAAAATCTGCCTTTAGTTCTTAAGTCTGTGATTCCGAAAAAGTTAATGTTAAGAAAATAAGCAAAAATAGAGGAGCCACTGGGCTGGTGGTCTGAAGATAAGAAATACAGTGTAGGGATAAACTGGCACATCCTTAGGTAGAGAAGTACAAATGATAAGGATTTTTATTTATTAGAGACAAGGTCTCTCTCTGTTGCCCAAGCTGGAGTGCAGTGGTGTGACCATAGCTCCCTGTGGCCTTGAAATCCTGAGCTCAAGCAGTCCTCCTGCCTCGGTCTCCCAAGTAGCTGGGACTATAGGCATGCACCACCATGCCTGGCTAGCTTTTCTCATTTTTTCAGAGACAGGGTCTCGCTATGTTGCGCAGGCTGGTCTCAAACTCCTGGCCTCAAATAATCCTCCCACTTCAGCCTCCTAAATCACTGGGATTATAGGTGTGAGCCACCGCAACTGGCTATAATAAAGATTTTTGGATATCAGTACTGAGAATAATTTTATTTAACACTTTAATAAATCAATTGAAAGGATAATCCTAAATTCTTGCAACTACTGAAATGCTAAATCAAGTGAATGCAAGAAGACTTAAGGTTAAACAAATTGGTTGAAAAAATGGCCAGTTAGCTTGAATATGGCCTAAAGAAAAGCACGATTTAGAAGAAACAAATATTTTTTCTCCTCTCAGCTTTATTAAGGTATAATCGACAAATAAAAATTGTATATATTTACAGTATACAACATGATGTTTTGATATATGCATATATTGTGAAATGATTAAATCAAGCTAATTAACACACCCATCACCTGACATATTTTTTTTTGTGGTGAGACTATTTAAGATCTATTTTTTGGGCCGGGCGTGATGGTTCACACCTGCAATCCTAACACTCTGGGAGGCCAAGGTGGGTGGAACACTTGAGCTTAGGAGTTCAAGACCAGCCCGAGCAAGAGTGAGACCCTGTCTCTACTAAAAATAAAAAAAATTAGCTGGGTGTGGTGGC